ACTAGATTCACTGGATGGACAAGTAGTGGGGAATGGCTGGGGGTGCCGACACCACAGCAGAAAGTATTAGGGATGACAGAGTATAAGATCTCTAGTGGGGGGAGGGAGGCTATGGGAGGTGCCATCTGGAAAGTGGGTGTATAGTTGAATAAGATGGTTTGGGATGTTCTGTGTGATATACACATACACACAAAAAAATCAACAAATTTTTAAAAATGTATTACATTTGAGGAGGAAGCTGGAAATTTACATCATGTTAATTTTGGGGGTTCTGTGTGATACACACACACACACACACACACACACATACACACACACACAAATCAACATATTTAAAATAATGTATTATATTTGAGGAGGAAGCATGGAAATATACATCATGCTAATTAGTAAAGGTGATAAACATTACCACTGAAATCTACCCAATGACTTCATAGACATACACAGGTGGCAAGGATCTGAGTGTAACCGATTATGATTAGTAATAATCAGATACATACAGATAAGAGACGCATGCGCCAACATCTCAATGTTATTAGCAAAAACAATGAGTCTTTCTGTAAGAAACAGTATATTTTAAAATGAAATGGAGTATTTTTTTAAAGGTTAAAAACTCATTCAATTTTATGTCTTACAGGGCTTATACTGAGTTCAATATTGTATAACTGTATTCATTCAACAGTGAACCTAAAAATCTTATGACCACTTTTGAAAGAGATGTGTCTTTGCTCTGGAAACTCTTATTGAGTATGTTAAAGCTGTAATGAAATGCTTCTTCTAAAAAAAATAATTTAAAAACCCCTAGATTGGAAAAAAAACAAAAACAAACAAAAAACTAGATACAAGGCAAGCTCGTTAGCTCCCAGGTGATGTCTTTTAAAAAGAGGGTTCTCTGTCTGGATTAGAAAAACCACATTATAATTTACCATTCACAACCTTGGATTACGTACCCAAAATCTGGACAATAAGGAACACAGAAAAGAATAGTACCAACAAGAACTTGGAAAGACATGCTATCAGAATGTCTCCTCCCTTTAGTCTGTCTATGACATTTTAACCACAAAGTGAAAAGCACAGGTACTCGGCATGATGGAGCAGGAACAAAAGCACACATATAGCAACTGAGTATCAGAGAGGGAAATAATTTACTTCAGAGAAAAATAGGCTTGGAATCATAGTGCAGGAAGGGCAGGAATTAAGACCAGTGGAGCCCGCATCTTAAGCTGCCATCCAAGTAGGCTATCCTTTTTATTTATTTATTTTTAACCTCCCATTGCTATAGTTACCTACTGGTAGCAACTTTTCTTTTGTAACTTTGGGCCCTGGAGTATTGAAAATTCACATGAGCTTTCCAGGTCTAGTCATCATAATATATCAACTAGTCTAAGAAATATGTGGCTAGAAAAATTTAAGTTCCTTTTAGAAACTGACAAATATATTATACAAAACAAGAAGAAAAGGCTATCCTGGTCTACATAGTTCCAGGACAGCTGGGGCTACAGAGAGACCCTGTCTCAAAAAGATGAAAAAATTCACTTTTAGAAGTTAGCAAATATACCATATAAAAAGAGGACAAAATCCAACATAATCCCTTTAAGAATAGGTAAACATGTCATGCAAACAACGTCAAAACCCTAAATAGTCCCCCTTAAAAATGAGTAAATATTATATAAAACAACGCAAAAAATTTTTTAAGGCAAGGAATGGATTTTATTTATACAAAGAGTTACAATGTAATAGTTTCATAATAACAGGATGAGTGTTATACACATCTGCCAGAGCAGGGAGAAACCTGATTTTATTATTGTAGTGTGGAGAGTCAGAGATTTCTACTAGGCATTTCATGTGGTTTTTCTAATCTTTTAAACATATGGATGTATTTTGAAACATACATTATTAAATGTCTGATTTGGGTCTTATAAAATGAAAAATATGTTTTATGAAATAGTCACAGTACAGGGAATCAGACATGAATTCAACCTCAACTTCGCAGTTACAAAGTTGTATGATTCTAATTCTTTACCCTTCTGGAGTCTAGTTCTTGGTTGTCAATCCAGTGACCAACATGGCAAGACATTTTCAGTTCACTGTATCACAATCTGCCCTGCTCTCTGTTGTAATTCTTTTGTTGCTGAGAAAATCTGAGGACCTATATCCACTTAATTTAGTAGGTAGAAGACTGAGGTTATTGTCTCTATAGAATGATTACATATGAAAGTATTATAAAACTGAAAAGACGAGGTACACTAGAAAATGCTTTTAACAGCTGAGCCTATCTTACTGATAGAGTCATGGAGTTAGAAGGAAATTTGGGTAGCCATTTAGTACACCTGTCTGCCTAGGGCTCTGTCATATTTGAACCATGAAAAGAAATTAAGACTTTTTTTTTTTTTTTAAAGGCAGCCATATGGGGAACTGAGCTGTCTGTCCCACCACCTCCCCCTTCTAACCAGTCCTCTGCTCAGCCTGTGGTGAGGCTAAAGGACGGAAGGGGATGCTTTGGGGTTCGGAGGGCAGTTACTGGGAGTCTCTGTTACTCATCCCCAACAGAGCTTGTCTCTGCCTTGTTCTTCACGTCATATTTATCCACAGTTTGTAGCACTGATCTGCAGTACCATTTTTTTTCTAAAACAGGAAATATGCAAGGGAACCTCAAAAAAAAATCTTTTTTAAAAGGTGATTAAACAGCTTCCTTTTGTAGTTGATTCCGGTGACTGACAGTCTCACCTGTCACCAAATCACTAGAGATGCACTTGAACTCATTTTCTTCTGCAGGAGGTGAAAAACAATTGGTATGATAGCTCCTGATGGACACAAAGCCACTATGAAGAGGTTCTTCAGTTCTCATGCTAAAGACACAGTCACGAACCTTTATAATTCCTTTCTATTCTGAACATTTATGGGGCGTTTTGCTACTCTTTTTTGCACATATGTTTTATCTACACAGGTCCCCAAACAAGAACATATACATTTAAATGATAATAATAATAATAGTAATAAATGAATATTTAGACTTATTTATATGACACATGTACTAATTCTGGGTGACTCTGTCTTGGAAATATTGTATTAGACATTAATTTTTTTCTTTGATTTTTTATTTATTTATTTATTTATTTATGTCTTTTTGAGACAGGGTCTCCCTGTAGCTCCAGCTGTCCTAGAACTCACTATGTAGACCAGGCTGGCCTCGAACTCACAGAGATCCACCTGCTTCTGCCTCCCAAGTGCTGGGACTAAAGGCGTGCGCCACCACGCCCGGCTTATTTATTTTTATGGGGCTTTTGGCCCACTCTAACATTCCCCCTCTGAAGAGATATCCTTAAATCTTTTAAGGATTAGATTCAAAGCTCCCAAATACTATCGAAATTTTTTGCCCTTGGAACAGAGTATGTTGCTAAGAGGCCCAAGGACATTGTTTTAGCTAAGAAACTGGCTACTTTTCTTTGGGGCCTTTTTACCCTAAATGCCTAGCTAATTCCTACCTCCTATTCTTATCACACCATCCTCTGAGGAGGTTACCCAAATTGCCAATAGGGAATCGGGACGCAGACCACTCTGGCTTCTTCCATGCTGAACAGGGACGCAGGGTGAGGCAACTGGAGTACCCCTTCAGTGGGTCTATCTAAAAGTCTCCCAAATTGCATAACTCTTATCTCTAAGGAGAAAAGAAAGTCCTTGAATCGTTGACTAGGAGATGTGAAGAAGTAAAGGCAAGAGTAACTAGCATTATAAGTTCTAGACAGGGCACTAGAAAAAAGTCAGAACAGAGCAATTTTCAAATGTTCATGAGAGTCCATTGGAGTTTCTTGACAAGGGTTTCCAAAAGCACCCCTCTATTGGGTTCTTCCTTATTTTTCTTTTGTCTAGGCTGAACTAGTTGGCTGGGAAGAGTGGCTGGATACTCAGGTGAGGGTGCAGTGACCCTGCTTGGCATTCCTTTAATGAATGAGCACAACCGTCAACAAGCCCAATTGTGACTATGTTTAGCGATCAGGCTCAATCGAAGTCATGATGAGTTTATCCTCCCTAGGAAAAATCACTGAGGCCAACCTTGACTGAAGATCTGCCCCAGGATAGGATAATCAAAGACCCAGACCAGAGCATTACCCACAGATATGTAGGCCCCAATAGGAAAGCAACGGTAGGAATTCATGGTCTCACACCAAGGAAGGGGGGTCCATGTCTCTCACCACCCATTACAACTGTGTATGCAAAGCAATGTCCTCTGCATCTCCTCATTCCTAGATATAAGCTGTTGATGGGACAGAAACCCATGCAGGCAGCAGAAGAAATGGAGGGGGGGTTGCTGTGTCCAGCACATATGTTGGCTGTTGCTATGAAAGCACAAGTCCCACCCTAGCATGGCATGACTCCCAATGTTCAAGGGAGCTACATGTCTGTGGCCAGGTCCAGAAGCACTGCCTGTTTTTGTCTTTTAAACACAGGGTCTCTCTGTAGTAGCCCTAGCTGTCCTAGAACTCACTGTGTAGACCATGCTGGTCTCCATCTCAGAGATCCACCTGCCTCTGCCTCCCAAGTGCTGAGATTAAAGGCATATGCCACCACACAAGGCTTCTTTAGGTGTTTATATCATCTTATTGCAATAAAAAGTTTATCCATTTCTTTCAGATTTTCCAATTCACTGGAGTATAATGTTTCAAAGCATACATTGGTGATCTTCTGAATTTTAGTGGGAACAGTTAAAGCATCACTGTAGCCCAGAAACCACTCATTCCTTCCAAAAAGCAAGAGTGACAGGGAGTGCAAGGTCACCCTGGGAAGAATGGTGGAGCCTAGCTGCCAGCAGAGCTAGCAGGGGAGAGATTTTGTGTGTGTGTATGTGTGTGTGTGTGTGTGTGTGTGAGTGAGAGAGAGAGAGAGAGAGAGAGAGAGAGAGAGAGAGAGAGAGCGTGCCAAGGGTGCAGCGGGTCTGGAGCTGGGACCAGGGAGTGTGTTGCCATGGGGGCGAATGGCAGAGGCATCCTGCGGGGCATGGAAGGGAGATGGGGCATTTACAGACCATGAAGTGAGACCTCTGGAGCAGGCAAAAGTTGACGGGAATTGTGGATGGGGCTGGAATGATACTGTGTCTTTGTAAGTCGCTCCCTCCCTATCATATAAACCATGTGAAAACCAAACCCAAAATGCCTTATGTTAGTTTGTGAGCACTGGGGCCTGTGAGCCTCCCAAGAAGGAAAAAGGGGGAAAAAATTTAGGGTGGCAATCACCCTCTTTTATCAGTAATTTTGGTTTGTGACTTATCCCTCTCGGTAAATTTGGGATGTACCCCACACTTATAATGACAGAAATGAGAAAGGAACTCATGGCCTGCATGTATGATGACACCATTAAAAAAAAACTATACAATTTTAAAGACTCTGGGCTAGGGTGCATTTGCAGAAGTGAAACTGGGCAAAGTGAAACTCTGTACAGACACAAGAGTGGCCATTGAAATCCTTTAGGAGAACCAAAAGAAGGCCTCCGACATCGTCAGTGAAGTCAAACTCCTGAAATCGTTCGAGCACCCTAACATCGTAAAACTGTTTCATGTGATTGACAGACCAACAAAGATGTAACAGAGTACATGGCAAGAGGGAACCTGGTGGACAACATAAAAGCTATGGTTGTATCACGGAGGAGGAGGTGTGCCCCATGTTCCAACAGCTGGCATTCAATTACCTTCATCAGAAAAATACTGCCCACAGAGACATAAAATTAGACAACATCTTCATTGATACAAAAGAAAATGTCAAACTGTGTGATTCTGGCCAGCCCGTGGAAGTCACCAGTAAGCAGAGGCTGGTAAAAACCTGTGGAAAACCCTTCCACTAGGCGTTGGCACAGGCCTGGCACCCCAGCAGAGGCAGGTGGTGAGAATGAGGGTAGCCTGGTCAAAAAGCAGAGTCCAGGCCAGCTGGGGCTGCAAGGGAGACCCTGCCTCAAAACCAAACCCAACCTCCAAACCAACCTCCTCAATACATACAATAGATACATATACAAATATGTATACATATAAAAAATATCCTTTCTTTGGATAATGGCTCACTGTACACACACACACACACACACACACACACACACACACACACACAATCATCTGAAGACCTGTGGATAAAAACATCTACCTTAGGGATTGGTGAGATGGCATAGTAGATAAAGCAGTTACTGTGCAACTGAGGACCAAAGCTGGGATCCCTACATCCACATAAAAGACATGTGGCCATGGCAGTCCTCCTATAATCCCAGGGCTTAAGAAGCAGACAGGAGATTTCTGGGGCAAACTGGAGATTAGACAAATTGGCAAGTGTTCTGGATAGCTTTAGTGTCAACTTGACACACCTGGGTTGAGGGAGCCTTAATTGGGGAATTGCCTTCATTGGACTGGCCTGTGGCCATGTCCATGGGGCATCTTCTTGACTGTTGAGTGATGTGGGAGGGCCCAACGCACTGTGGGTGGTGCCACCCCTGGGCAGGTAGGCCTGTGTTGCATAAGAAAGCAGGCTGAGCAGGGGCCAGGAGAGCAAGCCAATAAGCAGCATTCTTCCATGGCCTTTGCTCCAGCTCCTGCCTCCAGGTTCCTGCCCTGAGTTCCTACCTTGGGCTCCCTGATGAACTGTGTGACCTGGGAGATATAAGCTAAATAAACCCTTTCCTCCCCAAATAGGTATTGGTCAGAGTATTTTGTCACAGTAATGAAGGAACAAACTAGGCCAGAAATTGGTACCAGAGAATGGGATATTGCTGTGACAGACCTGACCTTGGTATTTTAAGGCTTGTGGAAGCATTTGGAACTTTGGGCTGGAAGAGCCATTGAGTGGTTAGAGTTTGCTGCTGTACAGCTTGAACAGTTAAGCTAAAAGAGTTGTGAACAATGAAGGCCTGGCTTGTGATGTTTCAAAGGGAAGCAAAGACTATCAGGGCTGTATGTGTGATGTTTTGAAGTGGGAATTTGTGGGTTCTGGTCGGCTGGGGCTGAAGAAATCAGCTGTGATTAAGAAGAGACCAGAACCTGAAGTAAAACCTTTGCTTTATGGAACAATTGATGCTGGTTAGCTGGGGCTGAAAAATCAGCTGTAAGTAACAAGAGACCAGCATCACTGTGGTGAAATCTTCTGGGAGGTATTTCCTCAGGGTCAGCACACAGAGGGGACCTGAAACTCCATCTTAATCTGGAAGCAGGACTTGGTATTGTGTAAGAGTCTACTGCATGGTTCTGGTGTTGAAAGCGTGAAGGGGTCACAGAGAGCAGCTGAGACTTGGCACTCTGAGAGGCCAGGAAAGGCCATAGGTGAAAGTGCAGCTTCAGTTGCAGTGAAGACCCCAGGATTGAAGGGGTCATGGAGAGAAACTGAGGCTTTGCACCCTGACAGGCAAGAAGAGGCCATTGGTGAAGGTATAGCCTCAGTTTCAGTGGAGACCCCAGTTTTTAGGAAACGCCAGGACCGTGGGACTTGACTTAGGTGTGCCCAATTCTTCCCTTTGAAATAAGACAGTAGTTGTTTTGGATTTTACAGAAGCCCACCCACAGTTAAGAGACTTTTAAAAGAGACTATGGACTTTTAAGTGTTTGGGTTTTTTAAGGACTGTGGGGTTTTTAAGGTTGCATTGTCTTATGTTGTGATAGTAATGTTAACATATCTTGGGGACAAGAATTGGAAAGGTTATGGTTTAACAGTGATGTGTTTATGTGTCAAGTTGACAAGGGGTCAATTGTGCTGGATAGCGTTAGTGTCAACTTGACACACCTGGGTTTAGGGAGCCTTAATTGGGGAATTTCCTTCATTGGACTGGCCTGTGGCCATGTCCATGGGGCACCTTCTTGATTGTTGAGTGATATGGGAGGGCC